TACCGGGGGAGGGGAACCGGGAACCGGGAAGGGGGAGGGGGAGATTGGGGTATAAGGGGCGAGGAGTGCTGGGGGGGGGGAGGACTGGAAGCGCTTGGCAGGGAAAGGGAAAATGATTTTTAAAAAAATAATAATAAAAAAATAAAAGATGAATGCAAAAACGACCAAAAAAAAACCCAACAAAAACGGTTTTAAAAAAAAATAAATAAAAAGATAAAAAGAGTAAAAGAAGAAAAGGTGAAGAAAAGATGAAGAAGGTTAAAAAAAAAAAAAAAAAGATTTGTAAGAAGGACAAAATAAAAGGATGCGGATTCTCATTCCCCCTCATTGATTTCCCCATTCCTCATTTCCAGGTGACCCCATGGAACCCTCCCAGCGCTCCCCCAGTTCTGGTGATGGCGTTGGGACTGAGACCCCCCCCAAAGCCTCCCCAGCGCCCCCCCGGTGTGAGCGGGGCCGTAAGAGGAGGGCAGGGGGGGACCCGGAGTCACCCCTGGTGCTGCGTGGTGTGAAGCGGCCAAAGGATGGGGATGGGGGTCCCCGGCACAACACCACCCCCCCCAGCGATGGCGACCGCCTTTTTGCCCAAAAAGTGAGTTTTTGGATGAAAAAAAAAAGCAGTGCTGACCCGCAAAACATTGCAGCGTGGGTTGGAGAGAGTGATCCTGATCGGGTGGTTTCGGGGTGTCTTTGCAGAGGGGGGGGGGGGGTGTTGGGGGTCTCATAAGGATGGTGGTCTTCATCCTCCTCCTCCTCCTCTTCCTCCTCCTCCTTGCAGTGCCGGGAGCTGCGGGGTTTCATCCGCCCTCTGACGGAGCTGCTCAATGGGCTGCGCATGGGGAGATATGACAAAGGTGGGTGCCCCACGATCCCAAAACCACAGCATAGGGATTTATGGCATGGGAGATCCTCCACCACATCTCCATAGTCTCCCCAGTGTCATCGTGTCCCCTCCCCCCCATGGGATGGGGACTTACAGCACAATGGTTCCACCCCCAAGGCCCCCTTTACAGTGTCCTCAAAACCTCTCCATAGCACTGAGATTTATGATATGGGGTTTCATCCCTACATTCCTATGTCCACCTCATGGGACAGGGGTTTATGGCACAGTGGTTCTGTCCCCACGGTGTCCTCAGCATTGTCCCATTGGATGGGGATTTATGGGAAGGGAGCTCCATCCCCACGGTGTCCCCAAACTCACCCCATGGGACTGGTATTTATGGCACGGGGGGGATCCCACCCCACAGGGCTCAGCAGCTTCCAGCAGAGCGTGGCCATGGACAGAATCCAGCGGATTATCGGCGTCCTGCAAAAACCTGAAATGGGGTGAGTACCCACCCCCTAAAAAACCCAAAACACCCCAAGGATCTCCTCTCCATCAGGGGGTCCGCAGCCCCCAAATGCTCCAGATGTGGGGCTGGGGGCTGACGGAGCCCCCTCCGCCCCGCAGCGCACGCTACCTGGGGACCCTGCTGCAGGTGGAGGTGATGCTCAAAGTCTGGTTCCCCCACGTCGCCCCTAAAGCCGGCCCTGAACCCGACCCTGTCGGGGTCCTCCTGCTGCTCCGCGACCGCCGCAGCGCACACGGGGACGGCACCACGTCGGGGACATCAGGGGGGACATCAGAGACGACACCAACAGGGACAACACACCCCAAGTGCCCCCTCCCCACCCGGACTGGGGTCCCCACACCCCCCGCAGCACCCGACGTGTGACTGTCCCCATCATGGGATTCTCTTCTTCTTCGTTTTGGTTTTTGGGTTTATTTTTTGGCCTTTTTTTTTTTGTTGTTTGTTTGTTTGTTTTTCCTGGTTTATTTTTTAATTGTTTGGGTTTTTTTTGTTTTTTTTTTGTTGTTTTTTTTTAAATATTATTATTATTTTGAAAGCGGGGACAGGAGGCAGCGCCCCGTCCCCGGACTGTGAGAACAACCTCAAACGAAGTGGATTTTTGGGGTCCCTTCCCTCCCCCCCCCCCCCCCCCCAAACCCCACAAACACGCAGCAGAGCCGCCCCCCTCTCCCCCCCCAACCCCGAGTGCGGTGCCTTGGGGCCTCGCTGCAACTCCGGGGGGGCACAAGGGGACAGGAGGATGGGGGTGGGGGGCGGGCCCCCCCGCAGCAGCACAGCCACCCCCCAGCCTCGTGCCTTCCCCGCAGGGTTTTGGGGCGCGACGCGTTCCCCCCGTGGGAGCAATAAATGGCAGCGGAGCGGCTGGGCTGGGCTGTGATGGTGTCCTCTGTACTTGCTGGGGGTGTGACGTGGGGGGTGGAGGGGCTGTTTTGGGGATGAGGAGGTGCAGGTTTTGTCACCTTGGGCCCTGGTGTCCCCTCAACCTGGCCCCCATCTGGATCCTGGTGTCACCCTTGGGTCTGGTGTCCCTTGCATCCAGTGCTCCCCCCCCCTCCCATGTGGCCCAGTGGCCCTCCTGAAGCTGCTGTCCCCTAAACCTGGCATCTCCACCCTTGGGACTTTGTGTCCCCTGGGACCTCTGGATTTGTTGTCCTCTTTGAACCTGGTGCCCCCACTTGGAGTCACCCCTGAGCCCTTTGTCCCCTGGGGCTGCTGTCCATTGGATCCAATGCCTCCCCCTGGGTGGTACAGCGGCCCCCCTGGTCCTGCTGTCACCCTGTGGCCTGGTGCCACCCCTGGACCCTATGTCATCTGCAGTTCTGCTGTGTCCATACCATCTGTCCCTTGGTGCAGCATCCTTCCTGGACCTGTTCTGGTGTCCTCCATGGGAGCCCCTTTGGGCTCAGTGCCCTCTACCAGGATTTGTGTCTCCTCCTGGGCCTGGTGTCCTTTGGATCCCATAACCCCCAAGCCCAATGTCTCCCCTGGTCCCGGGATTCCCTGTTGCTATTCCCAGCCCCACACCGTGACCCCTACCCAGGGCCCCATAGGGATAGCCGGAGGCGGAGCCTCTTTCCTGACCCCGCCCCCTTCACTCACGCCACGCCCCCACTGACCCGCGCCACAAGCCCCGCCCATTTCTCTTAGCCACACCCCTCGCTTTAAGCCCCGCCCCTCAGCCTGGGTCCGGCGGCGATTTCCGGTTCCGGGGCACACGGAGGTGAGTGGTGGTGTCGCGGTTTCGCGGGGTCCCGGCGGTTCCTGGGGGAAGGGGCGATCCCGGGGCGGTCCCGTCCTACAGCGAAGCCCCTCGGCCATGGCGAATCACCTCCGTTTCATCGGCCGCACCGTCATGGTGCAAAATGGCAACGTGGATGCGGCCTATGGGGCGCTGAGCAGGTGAGGGGCTGCGGCTGGGGCCGGGCGGGGGGCACTGAGCATCGCAGGGGGGGGGGGGCAGAAGAAACTTCACAACCCCCCCACCTCGGGTCCGCCCTTTGATGTTGGTTGGCTGCTCCACACGAGGGTCCTATCTCTGGCCTCGGGCACCTCCAGGTATGGGAGACCCCCACAGGGCAGCCGTGCCGGGGTCTCACTGGCCTCTGATTGAGGCCTCGATGCTCTGCCTTGCTGCTTCTGGGTGCGGTGAAGCTGAGGGCAGGTGATTATGTCCAAAATATGCTGCCCCAGGGGCATCCCAATGTGCCTACATTTATGGCAAAAGCTCCAGTGTACTCTACGGCACTCCACGGTGTTCTCAGAGTGCTTCAATGTGCCCTAGAGGCTTCCTGGAGTGCCCTAGAGGCCTTTTGGGACCCTTCTGTTCACTCCTGAGCACCCTAAATTACACCCAGAGCTCTCCAGTTTGCTCTAGGGCACTCTACAGGCTTCCTGGTGTTCCCAAATTCCTGATAAGTGCACCCTGGACAAATCCTAGAGCACTCAGTGCTGTTTTGGGGTCTTGTAGCAGAATGCTGGTGTTAGGGCACTTCAAGGCAAGGATTTTCCCAGGCAGCTCTGGATCCTGATGCCTCTCCTTTCAGAGCAGCACCTTCCTCCTTACTGCAGCCCATTTTGGGTTGTGTTCTTGTGGAGTCAGGTGCGCTCCCAGAGCTGTGGTGACTTTGGGTTCCTGCATTTCTTCAAGTCCTTGTAACCTCCCAGATGCAGCGAGGAAGAAGCAATGTCTGGAATGGAACAGCTGTAAAGTTTGGGAGCTGACAGCAGGTCTTTGCATTCCACTGCCATACTCAAAGATCTCTGCAGGGCTCAGCATCAGGGAAAAACCTCATTTATTGTGAAGTGAGTTTCATGTGGTGAGCAAGCAGGGGGGATAATAAACAATGTGAGCTTCAAACTTGAAATGCAAAGGCTCAGCAGGCACAGGGTTCGGTGAAAGGGGAGATAAAGGCTGTCAGGACGTTACAAACAGCTGGGCTGCGGGCAGTGCAGGAAGTGGCAGCAAGGGCACACCGGTGGGGAGGAGGAAGATGTGATCACGGTTCTCTGGTGTCCCCTTCCTTGCAGGATCCTCTCGCAGGATGGCATCATTGAGTCGGTGAAGCGGCGGCGTTACTACGAGAAGCCGTGCCGCAAGAGGCAGCGCTTGGCTTACGAGGCGTGCCGACGTGTCTACAACACTGAGATGGCACGCAAGATCTCCTTCCTCTCCCGCAAGAGCCGCACGGACCCCTGGCTGGGCTGCTAGTGGAGCTGCAGCCGTCTGTCTGTATGGCTGTCTGTCCGTTGGGCACTGCATCTGTTAATAAAAGCTGTTCTGGTTCAGCCACGCTTGGGTGTTGCAGTCAGAGGGGTGGGTGGTGTGGAGAAGCACTGATGGGTGTGGGCTGGGGAATTGTAGGTAGGGTTAATTGGTGTGGCTCCTTGTCCCGGTGCCAGCGGCCCTGTCCGCCCTCTTGTGGTTGTTTCTCTCCTTTTCACAGAATCACAGAATGACCCAGGTTGGAAGGGACCTCAGGGATCAAGAAGCTCCAACTTCCCTGCCCCAGGCTGGGCCGCCAACCTCCACATTTAACACCAGCCCAGGTTGCCCAGGGCCTTGAACACCTCCAGGGATGGAGGGGGCATCCACAGCCTCTCTGGGCAGCTGTTCCAGCACCTCACCACTCTCATAGTGAAGAATTTCCCCCTGACATCCAACTGAAGTCTGCCCTCCCTCAATTCCAACCATTTCCCCTCATCCTGCTCTCATCTCCCCTTCCCAAGAGCTGACTCCCCTCCTGTTTGTAGGCTCTCTTTAGTACTGCAGGCTGCAATGATTCACCTCGCAGCTTCTCTTCTCCATGCTGAACAAGCCCAGCTCCCTCAGCCTGTCTTTGCAGGGAGGTGCTGCAGCCCCCTGCTCATCTTTGTGGCCTCCTCTGGACCCTCTCCAACAGCTCCCTGTCTGGATGGAGCTGGGAGAGTGCTGCACATGGGGCCTCACAAGAACAGAGCAGAGAGGGACAATCACCTCCCTGTCCCTGCTGGCCACCCCTCTGCTGCTGGAGCCCAGGATCCCATTTGCTTTCCCAGCTGTAATCACACACTGCTACCTCACGTTCAGTTTTCCATCCCTCAGGACCCGCAGGTCCTTCTCTGCAGGGCTGCTCTCCAGAATCGCTCCTCCTTTTCCACAGGCGGTTTCCCGCGCTCCCGTGTCACGTGATGAGGGCGCTCAGCTTCACTTCCTCCCCTCGCTTCCTTCCCGGCAGCCCTCGGGCGGGCGGGCGCGCATGCGCAGCGCTTCCTCCGCAGCCGTTTCCGCTTCCGCCCCGACGTGCCGTCGCCGTCAGGCCCGCAATCGCCGTCCGGGCCGGGGCCTGCGGGGGCCGCGCCCCGTCGCGGTGAGGGACCGGGGGGAGGCGGGAAGGCCGCGGCTGAGGGGAGCGGGGCGGGAAGGCCGCGTCCGGAGCGGCTGTAAGGGAACGCGGGGCCCGGCTGTGACGCGCGGTGGCGGAGCGAGGCGAGGCCCCTCCGCCTGGCCCGGAGCCGGCCGGGAACGCCGCGTTTGTGCGCTCAAATCCGGAGCTGCGGGTGGGGCTGAGGCAACGAACGCCGCGGGGTTGGGTTATATTCAAAACGTTCGTCGGAACCGCTAATTCGAGCGGTCCCTTCGGGCGTGTGGGAACTGCGGGGCACCGAACGGCTCCGTTTGTTGTGGCCGCAGCGCTGTGGGAGCGGCAGTTTCACGTTAGCCGCGTTTTGGGAAGCACCGAAGGGACCCGGGTCGGTGGGCGCATCCATGTGGGTGTTTGCAGCCCGTTTTCTGCACCTCTCATGCCCTCGAAGTCCCACAGAGCTCCGAGCGTTGACGGCTGTAGGATTGGAGCTGATTTGGGGGGGGTGGGAAATGCCATTGGAGCTGCTGCTTTTCTTTCTTGGTCCTCACTGATTGCAGGAGTTGAACAGGAATGCAGAGTTTAAGCCAAGTGCAAATTAATTCGGTTTAGCCTTTCTGAGCAAGCATGCAGAAAGCTGTGATGCATCAGCAGTGCTGTTGTGTCGTAGTTATCACTTATCTTGATGCGTCTTCACTCTCAATTAACTTCACCCTGAAGTATTACATGCTTCCAAGTCTGGGCTTAATGATGAAATGCTATAATGATGTTCCTTTGGGCTGTATCCAATGCTGCTTTTTAATGTATCTCAGTGATACCCACTGTCAAAAATGCAGGACTGCAAGGTGTGCCCAACCTCCTCCCTGAGGGTCATTAGGAGCTCTCCAGCTGAAGCTTCACCCCTTTTGTTGCTCTTTCAAACCTGTAGGCTTACTTTTCTCGGCTGTTTTTCAGTCTCTAACTTGAGAAGCACTTTGTTACCACATCCAGGATCTTTGTTCTCAGTTTTAGGAGTGATAACTGTGTTTTAGGTGCTGTTAGCTCTCCTTTTAAGTAGCCCTAGGTTAAGGGAAAAGGCTCTGCAGGGTTTTTCCTGTGGGTGAGAAATGTTGAGGTCAAACATATTTCCTTA